ATTCTTCTCAAAGTTGTTGTATTTCTATCTTCAACTACAACAAAGAAGCATTTCTGTTCTTTTGTTCTTTCCACACCTCCAACCACCCAAAAATTCTTGTTTCTCTTGAATTTGCTCTCATCGATTTCCACGATAATATCTTTTCCACCAATGATCATGTTATCCTCTTCCAACGTGTTGATGACTAGATCTCTGAATATTTTTATATAATTTACTATTGTATTAGGTGAATGATTTGTTAATAAACTAATAGATGTATAATTGATTTTTGATAACCAAAAATATGCTAACAACAAAATATCTGAACTAATAATGTGATGCTTAGCGAAAAATGAATCTTTGTATATTGAAACTGTTTTCCGACAATTTGGATTTTTACATCTAAGTATTTTTTTAATTTGATTTAACTCAGAATTGCAATATTGGCATGTTGGTTTATGAATTATATTATTTAAAAATAAGTAATCAATACATGTTTTTTCTTTTAACAAAACTTTATAAATTTGCTTAATTTTTGGAAATACCATGATAAAATATATTTTATTTATAAAATTTGATACAATAATATATTTATATAATAAAAATAAACTTATAATTTTTTAAATAAACCTTTTAACCGTTTAAATTCTGGATTATCCTTGTTTTTTTGTTTAAAATCTTTAGAAGCATCATCATTAATTAGCTTGCGTTTCTTGGTATTTTTTGGTTTATCTTCAGAGATATCAAGCTCAATATCTGTTTCGTACAATTCTGATTCTGACAAAAATTCTTCTAGATCTTTTGATTTGCTTAATTCTATGTAATTTGACTGAATTCTAGCTTGTTCAATATCTGTTAATTCTTTTTCTGCTATTAAATTTTTATTAACAGAATCAACAACTGCTTTGCCTTTTTTTTTTCTACATGTATAATCTAAATCATCAGAATCAATATCTGATAAATCTTCTTCACTTGATTCTTCTTCTTGAACTTTAATTTGAGATGTGCTCGACTCGATTTGTGGATCCCAAATTTCTACATCTGTATTAACTTCTTTATTTTTTGCTGATTTATATTCAATATTTTTTTTCTCTTCAGATTCTTTAGATTCTTTTTTTCTTTTTAAATACTGCTTATGATCAATAATTTCAATATCTTGTAAATTGTTTTTGTTCTTTAACTTTTCGACAATTTCAGGATAAATGATTAAATCAGTTTCTTTTTCTTCAAATTTTTCATGATCTGAAAGAATAAATTTTGTTCTATCATAATTAATTTGTGGCCGCCAATAAAATCTTTTTCCTTTTCTAAAAAACAATCCATCCTTTTCTTCTATAATTGAAATTGCTTTTTCTTTTGAAACATCTTCGTTAAATTCAATTTCAAATTCTTGATTGTTAAATTTTTCTTTAGATCCGTGATGAAAAATTCTCATCACTTTACAACAATAGCACTCACTTTCACAAACTTTTTTTTCATCTCGTCTAAATTTATAATATTCAATCACAAAATCAAATCTATCAATTAATGATGCATAATATTTTCTATTGTTCTTTTTGTTTCCCTTTAAATCAAATAAGTATTTTTGATTTTCTGCGTAATTATATAATTCGTGTAATGGAGTATTTGAAGTAAAACATTGAATTTTTGGTGCATAATTTTTGCTTGATCCTTTAATTTGAACTGTGTATTTTCCACGATCTAATATATTTAATAATTCTTTCCACTTCATATAATCTCCCTCAAATTCATTGATTATCACTTCTTCATGTTCGTTAAAATTTTCCCACCACTTTGTCTCTTCTGCAACTTTTTTGTATGCATTTGGAAATAAAATATCCAAAAGATGAGACTTTCCTGTTCGTGGTGTTCCAAAAATAAATATATTACAACTTTTCCAACATCGTTCTTGAATTATTTTCTTGTTTTTAATATTGTTTATTGCTTGCTCAGCTGTGTAAATAGGATTTGGATTATTTAAAATTAATTGTGGACGTTCCAGAATACATCGAATGAATGCTTCATCTCCATTAATATTTCCACTCATTAAATCATTCATAATTTCTGTTGCAGCAATAGTTCTCTTATTTTTTTGAGAAGAAAACTGATTATTTCCAACTTTATTTTGTGATTTTGTTTTATACGTGCCATACTCAAATGGACCTGATTGATCATCATATCTTGCTAATGTTCTTTTGTTACAACATTCATCATCACACCATCCACATTCTGAATGATCATTCAGAACTTGAAGATTACATCTACATCTCATAATTTTACTCTTTGGATCATTTGAATTTGATAGTTGATT